CTGCTCCCTTACATCCAGTCCAGCTATGTGCTCATTTTTCGCGTTCCCTTCTGCCAGCAGCCCTGTGGGGCCCCTTCCCCACTCGTGGGTCACGCTGGTCCCAATGGCTGCAGACTCTGTGGGGCGCAGATTCCTCCCCGCGCGCACGCGAGCTTGGTCCTCCCTCCAACCCGAACTTCAAACCGCACCTTTAGGGGATGTCCAACCTTTCCGTGAGAAGAAGCAGTGCTCGTCCGAGTTCAGGCAGTGACGCTGCTTGAGATCCCTTGTTCCCAGGTTAGTAGCTGGTCTCTGGATGCCGGCAACAACCACCCAAGATGGCGCAGTCTCCGCTGCTTAGCTGGCGCACCACGAGAAGCTTCAGCTGCAGTCTCCAACCGTCCTTTTTTTTTCCTGGGGGTTCTCGGTCTTTCCTAGCTGCAGACAGTCTCTCAGCTGAAAATCCTCTGCCTATTCGGGCTGCATGTTACCCGTTTCAGCTGCTCACCCTTATCTGCTCCAGGACAAGGCACAGGACACGTCCGTTTATACCGCCGCCATCTTTACCCGTTCCCTTGTTCATCAGTTTATGTTGTTCATTATATTCCACAAATGAGTGAGATCATGTGGTATTTATCCGCTCTCCAGTTCCATCAATGCTGTGACAAATGGTAAGAGTTCCTTTTTCTTCTTCCTCTTCTTAAAGAATACCTTTCAGCATTTCATATAATGCTGGTTTGGTGGTGATGAACTCCTTTAGCGTTTTCTTATCTGTGAAGCTCTTTATGTGACCTTCTATTCTGAATGATAGCTTTGCTGGATAAAGTAATCTTGGTTGTAGGTTCTTGCCATTCATCACTTTGAATATTTCTTGCCACTCTCTTCTGGCCTGCATGGTTTCTGTTGAGAAATCAGCTGACAGTCGTATGGGTACTCCCTTGTAGGTAACTGAGTTTCTTTCTCTTGCTGCTTTTAAGATTCTCTCTTTGTCTTTTGCTCTTGGCATTTTAATTATGATGTGTCTTGGTGTGGTCCTCTTTGGGTTCCTTTTGTTTGGGTTTCTCTGCGCTTCCTGGACTTGTAAGTCTATTTCTTTGACCAGGTAGGGGAAGTTTTCGGTCATTATTTCTTCAAATAGGTTTTCAATATCTTGCCCTCTCTCTTCTTCTGGTACCCCTATAATTCTGATGTTGGTACGCTTGAAGTTGTCCCAGAGGCTCCTTACACTATCTTCATATTTTTGGAATCTTTTTTCATTTTTCTTTTTCGGTTGGGTCTTTTTTGTTTCTTCATATTTCAAATCTTTGACTTGATTCTTGGGATCCTCTTGTCTGCTGTTGGATCTCTGTATATTATTCTTTATTTCAGTCAGGGTATGCTTAATTTCTAGTTGTTCCTTTTTCATATGCTCGAGAGTCTCACTAGATTTATCGAGGATCTCACTAAATTTATCGGCGGTTTCCATAAAATTCTTGAAAAACCTTATAAACATGGCCTTGAACTCTATATCCAGTCATTTGCTTTCCTCCATTTCTGTCATTTGTGACCTGTTTCTTTGTCTCCGCATTTTTTATGCTTCCCTGTGTTGGTAGAGTGGTTTTGTGTGCTAGGTGTCCTGTAGGGCCCAGTGGCTCAGCCTCCCCAGTTACCTGAGGTGGACACTCTTGGTGTACCTCCTTGTGGGCTTTGTGCACAGTCTTGTTGTAGTTATGCCTTGATTGTTGTAGGATCACTGGGAGGAACTGACCTCCAGGCCATTGGCAGTGAGAATCAGCTGTGTCTGCAGTGGGAGAACTTCTGTGCTGAAGACACCCTTCTGGGGCAAGACTTGCTTCAGTGGGGTTTTGGTGCTCACTGAGTCTGCCCCCTGAGTGTGTCCCTTATGGATCTGAGGAGTTGTAATCTGGATGGTCCCCCTCTGACCACTGGGTACACTGGCTCTTGGATCTAAGGAGGTGCTAATTTAGCCTCTGCCTGAGGTTACACAGCAGGAGCTACAAAGAGAACTGCAGATTCCCCTTCCTTTTTTGGAGTTTGGAGGTACCCTGATGAGGCCCAGCTGTGAAGCAATGCAAGCCGCTGTGGGGCCTTGGGCCTTCTCTTGGAAGTTCTGGGTCTGTCTGGCCCAGCAGCAATTTGTTAGGTAATTTTCAGGTTGCAAAGGGCCGGGGCATTCATATGCAAAAGCCTCTGCTGCAGCCTGGGTGGGGCGGGGTCTCAGGGAATCAAAAGGTGGAGCAAGCAGCTATGGCAGATTCTCAGCCCTGCCCTAAGGGGCCCCGCATCTCAGTGTCCCGGTAATTGCTGCAAGCACCTCTGAGGGAAAGCCGACCTCAAGTTCCGAGTTCTGCCCGCTGCTAGACAGTCCAGTTTCTCCCCGTATGAGTCCTGGGTCCCCAGAGACTTCCCGGAACCGGAGTTCAGAGCAGTCGGGAGCTTGTGACTCCCTCCCGATTCAAAAAGACAGCCGCGTCCTCAGGTGCCATCCCCTTTCCGCGCGTGCGCGTAAGCCTCCGTACCTCTGCACTTTACTTCCGCAGCTCCTCTGGCTCTCAGTGTGCTTTTTTTTCCTTCTAGTTGTAGAATTTCCACTCAGCCAGCTTTCCTGTAGTTCTGGATGATGTCCGTTTTGTCTTTATGTTGTTTTTTTGGAAGTTGTTGTGGGAGGCAGCAATTTCCCAGTGTTTATCCATACCGCCATCTTAGTTTTCGACATAAGTCTTATTAACTACAATTTCCATGTAAGTAAAATTCTGAAAAGTCAAGTCACTTTTCACGTATCATACAGTTGATATGTGTCAGAGCTAAAACTTGAATTTAGAATCTTTAACTTACAAAGTCTATGTTCCTTCCACTTCATATTGCTCCTGATTTAATGAAGGTCTATTTATAGTTAAGTGTGGTAATAATAATAATACTGATTTTTCCCTCTACTTGTAATACTTTTAGCCCAAATACTTCCATGGCTTGCTACCTCACTCCATTCAGGACCAAATGTAACCATCTTCATAAAGTCATTTATGATTTCCCTACATAAAAATCAGTTCTCTAAGGAGATAGAAATTGTTATTGTCCCTATTTCACTGACTAAAAAAAATCAAAGAGTTTAAGTAAGTTAACTTGCATAGTCACTTAAAATCAGCATCGACAGCCAAAATAGTCCAACTCCTCTATGCTTAAGCACTATGTTATACTGCCTTACACCTCAAGTGTAGTGAATATATGTTGTTTTTGCCCTTTGTGGTCTGACTGTCAATTATAGTACTCTGCCTCACAGCAATTATAGTACTCAGTTCCCCACAGCATAAATAAAGCACATGACCAGAAGTTAATCAATTAATAGTGTCTCCATCCCCAGAAATAGTGATTAGCCTATTGTGTGGGAATGTAAACAAAGCAGAACCAGTCAGGGTCCTTTCTGGAATTCCTATATGGACACTAGAAGAAAGAAGTTCTTTTTTTTTTTTTTATCAGAGTTGGGTTAATTGAGATGAATTAGCCATCAGCAATCTTCCTCTTAAACCTCATAGAGGGTTATCTATCAGCAGTTTTTAAAAAAAAGCGTGGTGAGATAGCATCTATCCAACTAGTCGGCTTCCCATTTACATAAGTCAATAAATTTCTTTTTCACTCAAGCTAGTTTAAGTTGAATTTGTTATTTATAACCAAAAACAGAATGCTTAATCAAAACAAAGTAACGGAAGTTGGAGAGGTTTACTTTAATAAGAGTGATGGAAAGAAGTAGTGAATGAATGAAAGAAGCAACAGATAAAGAGACTTGTCTAATAGAGACAATAGATTTACAAGAGGGAGCATTTCTGGCAGAGAATCAAAGACAGCTGAGCTACAGAGGATCTAGAAAAATCTTTTATGACTACAGATTCTGTATATTAGGAAGAATACAGCCCTAGCCAGCTTGGCTCAGTGGATGGAGCATCAGCCTGCGGACTGAAGGGTCCCAGGTTCAATTCCGGCCAAGGGCACATGCCTGGGTTGCGGGCTCAATCCCCAGTAGGGGGTGTGCAGGAGGCAGCCGTTCGGTGATTCTCTCTCATCATTGATGTTTCTATCTCTCTCTCCTTCTCCCTTCCTCTCTGAAATCAATAAAGAAATGTAAAAAAAAAAAAAATTTTTTTTAAAAAGAAGAAGAAAACAGATTCTGTATATTAAGAACAATAAAGAACTCATTGGACCCTAAATCTCAGCTTTGGTTCCCAAAGTGTCAAAAATAAGTCTACAAACATAACAGAATACAGAGTATTGTGAAAATAATTTGCACTCATCAGTAATTATTCTGACTGCAATGCTGCCTACTTGGTTCAGAGCAACAGCCCTCCTTCCACAAAAAAAGGAAAATTTTCCAGGGGGATAAGATAAATTACATGGTGGAAAGAGCCTTACTGAGGGGAAGTGCACTGGTTGGATAAGGTTCCAGAGCACTTACCTGTCATAGTCCCACAGATGGAGGTTAAAGTAGGAGGCTAATTGTAAGGCAATACATACTACCAAAGCAAGCTGAAACAATTCTGTAATATAGATCAAATTCTCTAAAGGAAAGTACTTGTTGATAGCTGCTACTCCCTAAAGAACAAGAACTTTAATTTCAACTAATCTGCAAGCATAATAACTAGTTTCCAGGAAGCTAGACCTAAGGAAATCCATGCTTTCTCTATGGGTTTGCCTCTTGTATACTCGGCAGAAACCTCCTTATTACCTAAAATATTTTCCCTTTTATTTAAAATAGATCAAGGCTCATTTTTATTATATGCATTAACAGTTCATTAGATTAGAACTTGTATTTAGTACATTCTTCAGGGAACTAAATACAGGGTGGGACAAAAATTGGTTTACAGTAGTTGATATGGAAAATAATACAAGAATACAAGAATAAACTCTGTTAAACCTACTTTTGGTCCAGCCTATAAAGTCACTCAAAGTATTGTTCTTTAGAATAATACTACAAAATGGATTTTAAATAAAGTAAGATCTCCAATGTTACCATTGAGAATAAAATCACATACCTTGAAATTTTCTGTGATCAGAGTAAACAACTTAGTTGAATTCCCCACAACACAAGCAGTATTTGACATTATTATTTCCAAAGGTGATAAAATTTTGAGTTTAGTGATCACCTAAAATCATTTGAAAAATCAGTTTCTTAAATGTAAGCTTAGAATTCTCTTCAACAAAAATTTGTCATATTGTTTTAGAGAGAAGTACTTAAAATCATTTCATAGAGATATAAAATTACAACTTTCCAAATTATATATTCAATTAAAATGTATTTCTAATGATTATGTATTAATCATATATCCTATATAATTACAAATATAAAATATTTACATAAACATAGGGTATTTATTCATAACAGTTTGTAACAATTCAAAGCCCAAAAATTAACTTGAATTTATCCAATACATATTCTTAAAATAAGGTTTTTTAAAATAAATTCTTCCAATCAGCATTTTATCCATCTCAATGTAAAACATTCAATAGTGTAACGATGGTGATACAATCAATATGACCTCACCAGTACATCTTAGAAATTGAAAAGTAAAAAAATCGAAGATGACAACATCTGCTTCATGACTTACACTTTTCCCAATATACTAGTAAAGGGCATTTTTTAGAACTACTTTAGACATACCAAGTCTTTTGTCAGTTTAACATTCCTATTTTATAAAAACTTATTTCCTATTCTTTTTAAATTGCATAAAAATGTGAAATACCACCTTAGCCGGTTTGGCTCTGTGATAGAGCATCAGCCTATGGACTGAAGGGTCCCAGGTTCAATTCCAGTCAAGGGTATGTACCTCGACTGCAAATTCCTCCCCAGCTCAGGAGGCAACCAATCAATGTATTTCTCACACATCAGTATTTCTCTCTGTCTCTGCCTCTCTCTTCCACTCTCCCTAAAAATCAATGGAAAAATATCCTAGGGTGAGGATTAAAAAAAAAAAAGTGCCAAAACCAGTTTGGCTCAGTGGATAGAGCGTCGGCCTGCGGACTGAAAGGTCCCAGGTTCGATTCCGGTCAAGGGCATGTACCTGGGTTGCGGGCATATCCCCAGTAGGAGATGTGCAGGAGGCAGCTGATCGATGTTTCTCTCTCATCGATGTTTCTAACTCTCTATCTCTCTCCCTCCCTCTCTGTAAAAAATCAATAAAATATATTAAAAAAAAAAGTGAAATACCCAGAGATGAAGGTAGTAGACAGTACTAATATCAGTTAAGTTGTTAGATATATTTAAAAATTTATTATTAGGTAAAAAAAGAAAGCCTATATCCTGGGGCATCATTATGGACTTAGAGTAGGAATAGACTGCATCTACCTGTTAAGTCACACAAATTCCCATAATAGGCCACTGGCCCAAATTAATGAGTTATAGGAAGTAAAGGCAAGAAGACATACTAAATTATGATTGATCAAAAAGACCAATTCCCTTAACACTCAAAAATAAAATTCAAATACAGTTCAGTGGAAATAATACTTTGGAGATAGCATTATTATAGACTAGAGGCCTAGTGCACGAAATTCGTGCATGGGTAGAGTCCCTAGGTCTGGCTGGTGATCAGGGCCGATCAGGGCCTTCCAGCTGCTGGCTGGGGCCTTCCTTCCCCAGCTGCCGGCCGGGGCCTTCCTTCGTTCCATGCCACTCCCTGGTGGTCAGTGCACATCAGAGCGAGTCGCCGAACTCCTGGTCGGTCGAATTCCAGAAAGGACAATTTGCATATTATCCTTTTATGATATAGGACTAGAGGTCAGGTGCACAAATTTGTGCACAAGTGGGGTCCCTTGGCCTGGCCAGCGATCAGGGCCCATCAGGGCCATCTCACCCAGTCCCGATTGGGGCTGATCAGGGCTGGCCAACCGGGGGTAGGGACCACAGGAGGTTGGCCAACAGCAGGAGGTTGGCTGTGGGAGTGCACTGACCACCAGGAGGCAGCTCCTGCATTGAGCATCTGCCCCCTGGTGGTCAGTATGTATCATAGCAACTGGTCAACCGGTTGTAATGGTTGCTTAGGCTTTTATATATATGTACTAGAGGTCCAGTGCACAAAAATTTGTGCACTCAGGGGGGTCCCTCAGCCCGGCCTGTGCCCTCTCGCAGTCTGGGACCCCTCAGGGGATGTACACCTGCTGTCTTAGGCCCGCTCCCCAGGGGAAGGGGCCTAAGCTGGCAGTCAGACATCCCTCTGGCAGCCCGGGATCCCTCGGGGGATGTCCACTTGCCAGCAGGGAGTAGGCCTAAGCTGCAGTCGGACATCCTTAGCGCTGCTGAAGAGGTGGAAGAGGCTCCTGCCACCACCGCTGTGCTGGCAGCTGGCAGCCTGGCTTGTGGTTGAGCAGAGCTCCCCCTGTGGGAACGCACTGACCACAAAGGGGCAGCTCCTGCATTGAGCGTCTGCCCCCTGGTGGTCAGTGTGTGTCATAGTGACCAGTCATTCCCAGTCTTTCTGCTGTTAGGGTCAATTTGCATATTACCCTTTTATTATATAGGATATAGATAGATAGATGATAGATAGATAGATAGATAGATAGATACATAGATGAAAGAAAGAAAGAAAGAAAGAAAGAAAGAAAGAAAGAAAGAAAGAAAGAAAGAGAAAAAGAGAGAAAGGAAGGAAGAAATAAATTACCTTTGGAACAAATCCAGGAATTATTAAAGGTATAATTTTAGAAACTAGTATTAATAATTTGAAATGTTTAAGTAATAGCAAAACATTATTTTTTAGAACTATACTATATAATAAAAGCCGAATATGCTAAGTGTCCAGTCATCCATGCAACCAATCAAAGCGTAATATGTAATGATATGCCAAGGTCGCTTAACCGCTCACTATAACATGCTATGACATGCACTGACCACCAGGGGGCAGATGCTCCAACCAGTAGGTTAGCTTGCTTCTGGGCTTCGGCCAATCGGGACTGAGCGAGACAGGTCGGACATGCCCTGGAGCCCTCCTGTGGTCCCTCCCCGGCTGGCCAAACTCCCGCGTCCCTCCCTGACCCAGATCGTGCACCAGTGGGGTCCCTTGGCCTGACCTGCCACCTCTCGCAATCCAGGATGAGAGACCCCACCCCCAAGTGCACAAATTTCATGCACCAGGTCTCTAGTATATACTAAAAATATATGAGATGAAAAGCAATTTTATTTTAATTCAGACTACTAAACCTGCATGCTACCAAAAAGTAAACTAATTAGGAAAGTAATGACTTCAAAATCAGGCTAGTGCCCAATAGATCAATCATTTTCTAGGATTATAAATACTTACCTTTGCATATGTTGTGTTGTCTGCAAACTGAGATAATATAATTTGTGGGCTTTTTAAATCAATACTTGCCATTCCTATTTCTCCTCTGGCAAGTCCTCTCCCTTCTACAACAGCTACAATAACTGATGGGGAGTGTACAGAAACTGCAGATGAAGATGTAGCTGCTAAAAATAATTTTTTAAATGTATAAACATTAATAAAAAACATTTCCAGTTTTTTCTCATACAATCTCAAGACATCAAATCTAGGACACAGCTATTAATATCCAGAGAAATAATCTTTTTTTACTCATCAAAAAATAACTTTTCATATTCACACCAAATAAAAATGTTCATTCTCAAAGTATTTTGCCAAAACTTAACTTCATTAACATTTAGAAATAATTTATATAGTCTTAGTTTTCATTTCATTGAAATGCAGTCACAAAAGAAACACTAAATTTGGTATTTAAAAAAAAACAAAAAACAAACAAAACAAGGAGAAACCAAGATGGCGGCATAGGTAAACACCTGAAATTGCTGCATCCCACAACAACTTCAAAAATACAACTAAAAGACAAAACGGACATCATCCAGAACTACAGGAAGGCTGGCTGAGTGGAAATTCTACAACTAGAAGGACAGAGAAAAGCACACTGAGATTCAGAGGAGGTGCAGAAGTAAAGTGCAGAGGTATGGAGGCACATGCAGCAAGGGCTGGCAACTGAGGACGCGGCTGTCTTTTTGAATCGGAAGGGAGTCACAAGACCCCAACTGCTCTGAACTCCAGTTCTGGGAAGTCTCTGGGGACCCAGACTCATATGGGGAGAAAATGGACTGTCTGGCAGTGGGCAGAACTCGGAACTCGAGGGCAGCTTTCTCTCAGAGGTGCTTGCAGCGATTACTGGGACACTGAGACCCCTGGGCCTCTTAGGGCAGGGCTGAGGATCAGCCACAGCTGCTTGCTCCGCCCTGTTGATTCCCTGAGACCCCGCCCCACCCAGGCTGCATCAGAGGCTTTTGCATATGAATGCCCTGGCCCTTTGCAACCTGAAAATTACCTAACAAACTGCAGCTGGGCCAGATAGACCCAGAACTTACAAGAGAAGGCACAAGGCCCCACAGCAGCTTGCATTGCTTCACAGTTGGGCCTTATCTGGGCACCTCCAAACCCCAAACAAGAAAGGGGAATCTGCAGATCTCTTTGTAGCTCCTGCCGGGTAGCCTCAGGCAGAGGCTAAATTAGCACCTCCTTAGAGATCCAAGAGCCAGTGTACCCAGGGGTCAAAGTGGGACCATCCAATTACAACTCCTCAGATCCATAAGGGACACACTCAGGGTGCAGACTCAGTGAGCACCAAAGCCCCACTGAAGCAAGTCTTGCCCCAGAAGGGTGTCTTCAGCACAGAAGTTCTCCCACTGCAGACACAGCTGATTCTCACAGCAACTGGCCTGGAGGTCAATTCCTCCCAGTGATACCTACAACAATCAAGGCCCTACTACAACAGGACTGTGCACAAAGCCCACAAAGGGGTGCACCAAGAGTGTCCACCTCAGGTAATTGGGGAGGCTGAGCTACTGGGCCCTACAGGACACCTAGCACACAAAGCCACTCTACCAACACAGGGAAGCATAAAAAATGCGGAGACAAAGAAACAGGTCACAAATGACAGAAATGGAGGAAAGCAAACGACTGGATACAGAGTTCAAAACCACACTTTTAAGGTTTTTCAAGAATTTTCTAGAAACCGCCGATAAATTTAGTGAGACCCTGGAGGATATGAAAAAAGACCAACTAGAAATTAAGCATACACTGACTGAAATAAAGAATAATATACAGAGATCCAACAGCAGACAAGAGGATCCTAAGAATCAAGTCAAAGATTTGAAATATGAAGAAGCAAAAAATACCCAACCAGAAAAGCAAAAAGAAAAAAAGAATCCAAAAATATGAAGATAGTGTAAGGAGCCTCTAGGACAACTTCAAGCGCACCAACATCCAACTTATAGGGGTGCCAGCAGAAGAGAGAGAGCAAGATATTGAAAACCTATTTGAAGAAATAATGACAGAAAACTTCCCCTACCTGGTGAAAGAAAAAAACTTACAAGTTCAGGATGCAAAGAGAACCCCAAACAAAAAGAATCCAAAGAGGACCACACCAAGACACATTATAATTAAAATGCCAAGGGCAAAAGACAAGGAGAGAATCTTAAAAGCAGCCAGAGAAAAACAGTCAGTTACCTACAAGAGAGTACCCATACGACTTTCAGCTGATTTCTCAACAGAAACTATGCAGGCCAGAAAGGAGTGGCAAGATATATTCAAAGTGATGAATAGCAAGAACCTACAACCAAGATTAATTTACCCAGCAAAGCTATCATTCAGAATTGAAGGTCAGATAAAGAGCTTCACAGATAAGAAAAAGCTAAAGGAGTTCATCACCACCAAACCAGTATTATAATGAAATGCTGAAAAGTATTCTTTAAAAAGAGGAAGAAGAAGAAAAAGGTAAAGATACAAAGTAAGAACAACAAATACACATCTATCAACAAATGAATCTAAAAATCAAGTGAATAAATAATCTGATGAACAGAATAAACTGGTGAATATAATAGAACCAGGGGCATAGAAAGGGAGTGGACTGACAATTCTTGGGGGGAAAGGGGTGTGGGGGTACAGGAAGAGACTGGACAAAAATCGTACACCTATGGATGAGGACAGTAGGAGGGGTAAGGGCAGAGGGTGGGGTGGGAACTGGGTGGAGGAGAGCTATGGGGGGAATAAAGAGGAACAACTGTAATAATCTGAACAGTAAAGATTTAATTAAAAAAATAAATTAAATTAAAAAAAGAGAAATAAAAAAAATTGCTTCTAAAATAAAACAAAACCCAGATTTTTTTTAACACTGTCATTTAAAATCTATATAAATGTGAGCAAATTATTTTATCTATAATAATAAAAGCGTAATATGCTAATTAGACCAAATGTCCTTCCAGACAAAGCCGCAGCAGCAGGGGACCAGGCAGAGGCAACCACCGCCACAGCAGGAGCCAAGCCACTTGCGCGAATTTTGTGCATTGGGCCTCTAGTAATAAATAATCATCAATCACAAAATATAATGAAATAACTCTCTGCCTACCTTGAGCTGACTGAAACAATCAAATAGGATTATATATATTATCCTATAATAGAAGCCCAGTGCATGAAAATCATGCACTGGAGGGATAGTGAGGGTCCTCTGCCTGGCGTGTGCCCTCTCACAGTCTGGGAGCCCTCAGGGAGTGGGTCTAAGCCATAGCCAGACACTATTTTTCTTTATAATTTCTTCCATTGCTTTTCTGCTAAGAAATTCCTCCTTCATTAAGATATTTGATATTCATTACTATTTTCTCTAACTTTTTTGACTTGTTTTATTCATTTTGATCTTTCATCTCCGCAGAACTATGAGCAGTAAATTTGTCCACATTTGGAATAAGAGATGACAGGAAGTACAGATTTAGACTCATTCATAAGCAGTTTTTAATGTCTAGCTGGATGGTCAGGGACTTGAAAGGAACAGGATTGGAAGATGGCGACAAGGGAAGCTGGAAAAGACGTATGTGGATAGATCTCTTCGAAAGGACATAAGCTGATTTGGCTCAATGGATAGAATGTCAGCCTGTAGACTGGAGGGTCCCAGGTTTGATTCTGGTCAAGGGCACATGCCTAGGTTACAGGCTCAATCCCTGTAGGGGCTGCACGAGGGAGCTAATCAATGATTCTCTCTCATCATTGACGTTTCTATCTCTCCTTTGCCTTTCCTCTCTGAAATCAATAAAAACATATTTTTTAATATATTTTGATTTTTTTTACAGAGAGGAAGGGAGAGGGATAGAGAGTTAGAAACATCGATGAGAGAGAAACATCCATCAGCTGCCTCCTGCACACCCCCTACTGGGGATGTGCCCGCAACCAAGGTACATGCCCTTGACAGGAATCGAACCTGAGACCCTTCAGTCTGCAGGCCGATGCTCTATCCACTGAGCCAAACTGGTTAGGGCTAAAAACATATTTTTTTAAAAAGGAAGTATGAAAGGGCATTCACTCTAGAGTAGACTCTTAATAATCAGGTGAACAAAATGATAGCTCCATGGATGTCAAGTAGCCTCTTTCCCAGCCACTCCAGTACTTCCTCAATAGACCCATTAACAAAGTGGCCATGGTGGCAGGATTGTGCCTATGCATGGGCTCAATAACAGGAACTTCCACTTATCAAAGTTGACCTGGTTACTCACACTGCTGAGTGCCTAACCTGCCAAAAGCAGAGATCAACATTAAATGTCCCAAAAAACACCACTCCTCAAGGAGACAGCCTGAGATTCATTACATCATGGAGAGGGAAGATATCTGTCTTCACTGGAACAAACACATATTCTAGATACAGATTTGCCTTCTTTGCACACAGTGCTTCCACCAGCATCACCATTTATGAATTCACAGAATGATTTATCCACCATTGTGGCATTCAGCACAGTAATACATCTGATCAAAATGGTCAGTGGAGGATAAGGGTAGAAGGGTTTCCCTTATAGATATCAAGATGTAATATAAAACTAAAGACAGTGTGATATTGGCAGAGATTGGAAATTAAGAGAGGCAGAAACAGAACCATATGGGTCTATGATATATGACAAAGGTGGAGGAAGGATATTCAAGAAATAGGAATTATCTCTGTGGGAAAATTAAATTGACTTCTTACCTCATATTATAAACAATAATCAATTCTAGGTATATTAAAAACTTAAATGTAAAATGCAAAGCTTCAGAACACTTAGAAGAAAATATAAGAGAATATTTTTCTGACCTGGGACAGGGATAAAGTTTCTAATCAAATATACACAATGCAGCAATCATAAAAGAAAATATTGATAAATTTGGTCCTACTAAAATGAAGAATTCTGATTTCTGCTTCTGGTAATAGTAGGCAAAGTTATTTTAAATCAACTGTCTTGGTGAAAGCAACAAAGTAGTACACAAAATATAAATATACAAATATATACACAAAAGTCATACAAAACACAAACATAACCAAAATACATACAAATATACAAAAAAACCTTAAAAGTATTAAAGAGCTTCAGGAATACCTGTGTTTGTGTGTCAAGACATATTGAATTACACACTTTAAATGTGTAGTTTATTGTATGCTAATTATATCTTACTAAAGCTGCTGAAAAATATGCAAGAGATCATACTGATACTTTCAATTTACCTTAAAAAAAAAAAGAAGTATTAAAAAGCAGAAAGATACTGAGGACTTTTGGGGTCTAGATACAAAAAATATAACAATCCAGAGAGGAAAGCCCAGCAAAAGTAGACAATTTTTCTTTGAGGCCAGAATGGTTAAAATAATGTAGACCTGCATTAATTAATGAACTATGAGAACTAACCTCATTTCAAATTATGGATATGGATAAATTGGTACATTTATCTTTCAATCAGTCATATCAGGTACAAAACACTTCAAATGAACATAACCACCCTAATTTATAATTTAAAAAACTTTAAAGTTTCAAAAAGTCATTTAGCTCAATATTCCACTCATTTTACCTGAATATCCCATTTGCGGTGTCCAACTTTTATATCCTGATCTCTGTGGATTTCCAGCAGACAATGGAGTCTTTAGTGTTTGAGGATAATTATTGTCTCGTGTAGAAGATGAGCTTGTTCCAAAATTAAAATCTGATGCAAATGTATTTTCTGCATAGGATCTTTTGTTTTCAAAGTATGAACCTAAATCCAAAAAATTAAATATCAGTTTTTAAAGATTCAGAATTATGCAATGATGCCTACAATCCCTACAATTTTACCATGTTTACCTTCTATAAAATTTCATGTTAATGATTTTTAAAAATATAATGAATTATGGCAAATGACATTATTGATAAATAATCTTATACTAAAACATAAGGAAAAGTGCTTACTAAGAAGGCTTTTGCTTCTACAAGTTCACTAAGATTACTCTTGCTGAAATTTTAAGTTACCTCCTAATTTTCAAATACAACAGATATATTTACTTTGTAATTATGAGATGACTTTTCATCTGCGGACTTGAAATTCTCTCCTCCCATGTAAATGTATAAAGAAAGCTCTGGATTCACTTAAATTCGGTTCCTTGTTTAGGTACTTTACCTGGTATATTACCTATTTTGCAGGACTGTCATAAAACTTAAAAGAATGTACACAAACAGCCTGGCATAGTGTTGTTTTAAAAAAATAAAATAAAATAATGGGGCTTGGCTCTGGCCGGTGTTGTAGTTGGTTGGAGCATGGGGTTCGATTCCAGGTCAGGGCACATACCTAGATTGTGGCTATGCAAGGAAGGCAACCAATTAATGTTCTCTGTCACATGGATCTTTTTCTTTCTCCCTCCTTTCCCCTCTAAAATCAATGAGCATATTCTTGAGTGAGGAGTATATATATATTTCCCTTGATTTCCATGACAATTATCTTGATCCTCAAGCCACTTGCTTTTAGTTTCCTTTGACAGATCCTTATTTTTCTGCCTGCTTCTTAACTGTTGGCTTCTAAGGATTCCATACATTTTCACCACTTCTCACAATTAACATTATACATTTTCTCTGGGCCTCTCATCTATTCTCTTAGTTTCTATTAATATCTATTTCCTGACAAGTCTCAAGTCTTCATATACAGCCCTAACTCCTCTCTTACACTGTAAACCACAGGTTGTCAAACTTTTTAATAAAGGATCAGATGATATAGGCTTTGTGGGCCATAGGATCTGTCACAATTACTCAACTCTGACATTATAGCAGGAGAGTACCATTGACAATATGGAATTGAATGAGCATGGCTGTATTTCAATAAAATTTTATTTGTGAATAGTGAAATCTGAATTTCATGTAATTTTCACATGTCATAAAATATTATTTTTACCTTTTCAGCCCTTTAAAAATGCAAAAAAATATTCTTAGGTCTATAGCTGCATTATTCAATATAGTAGCCATGTACCACATGTGGCTATTTAATTAAATCAGAAATAAATAAAAGTAAAAATTCAATTCCTTAGCCACATTTCAAATGATCTCAAGCCATATTTGACTAGTACAGATATGGAATAGTCCCATCATCACAGAAATTTCTATCAGCTAGTGTGGCTCTAGGTTCCTCTGTCTAACTACTTCTTGGATGTATTTAGATATCTTCCTCAAAATTTTAAATGTCCATAAGTTAATTCAATATCTTTCCCTCAAAATTTATTCTTTACAACCAGTTGTGGTCAATTGTACCACCTTGTACTCTGTCACCCAAATCATAAACTTAGGAGTCATTCTTTTTGAGAGAGAGAGAGAGAGAGAGAGAGAGAGAGAGAGAGAGAGAGAGAGAGAGACTGGGAAAGACAGAGACAGAGAAACATTGATGAGATCCACTGGTTGCCTCCCGCATGTGCCCTGACTAGGACCTGGGATTGAGCCCATAACCCAGGTATGTGCCCCTGATAGGAATCAAACCTGGACCCCAGTCCGTGGGCCGATGCTCCATCCACTAAGCCAAACTGGCTAGGACAGAAGTCATTCTTAATTCTTCTTTCATCAATCCTAAAAACCAATCCATGAGCAAGCCTTGTAATTTTTCCTTTTAAATGTCACTAAAATTTCTCTCTACCTCAACTCCTACTGGCCCATTTTAAGCCCATATCTTCTTCAGGATTTTTAAAAAAGTCTCCTAATTGTCTCCCTGCCTCTGGTATAATGCCTTTCTAATAGTCTTCATATCTCTGGGGAAAAAAAATTTCACCATGTCTCCCTTTCTTACAATTCCTCAGTGTCTCCCATTACTCACCAAATGATCCTATATAATAAAAGGGTAACATGCAAATTGACCCTACCAGCAGAACGACTGGGAATGACTGGTCACTATGACACACACTGACCACCAGGGGGCAGACGCTCAATGCAGGAGCTGCCCTCTGGTGGTCAGTGCGCTCCCACAGGGGGAGCTCTGCTCAACCACAAGCCAGGCTGATGGCTGCCAGTACAGCGGTGGTGGTGGGAGCCTCTCCCGCCTCCTCAGCAGCACTAAGGATGTCCAACTGCAGCTTAGGCCTGCTCCCCGCTGGCAAGTGGACATCCCCCGAGGGATCCCGGGCTGCCAGAGGGATGTCTGACTGCGAGCTTAGGCCCAATCCCCCAGGGAGCGGGCCTAAGCCAGCAGGTGTACATCCCCCAAGGGGTTCCAGACTGCAAGAGGGCACAGTCTGGGCTGAGAGACCTCCCACCCCCCAAGTGCACACATTTTTGTGCACCAGGCCTCTAGTAAAATACAATTCCTTTGTATGGGTCCCAGTAAGAATTGGATGACATATTCAAACTACAATTATTTTAGGAGAGTTTGATAAAGGGAATTATTTACAAAGGTATGGAGAGGGTATCAGGATATCATCATAAAGAAGTGTGTAGCCGAAACCGGTTTGGCTCAGTGGATAGAGCGTTGGCCTGTGGACTGAAAGGTCCCAGGTTCGATTCCAGTCAAGGGCATGTACCTGGGTTGCGGGCACATCCCCGGTGGGAGATGTGCAGGAGGCAGCTGATCGATGTTTCTCTCTCATCGATGTTTCTAACTCTCTATCTCTCTCCCTTCCTCTCTGTAAAAAATCAATAAAATATATTTAAAAAAAAAAAAAGAAGTGTGTAGATCCAGAACAAAGTCTGCTCCATTACCACTTAAGGCTTAAAGGAGCTAAGGAAGGGAGAGGTTACCAGAATCTGGAGACAGAGAGGAGTATGTCTTGTTCTCAGGTTACTTTTAGAACCTAAGTTCATTCCTCCAATTTCCTTGACCTTTCTTTTGCTGCACCTTATCTTCTCCCCTCTGGCCTCAAATACAGTGGTAATTTACAAATCTGTATCTTTCCCATTTCTCTTCTTAGCCCCAGATCCATATATTCAATTGCCTTAATATGAATATACACATATATCCCAGAGATTCTTCACACTCAATATGTCCATACAGAATTATTATTTTCCCTCTAAAAGTTGGTTCTCCAACTAAATTCATTTTTTTTTTTCAGGAAACAATACTACTGTTTATCCAGTCACCAAAGCCTGTTGCTGGCATGGCAGACAAAACCTATTTCCCTCCCAGACCAAACTGCTATAAGTACTCCAGGTTTATATCAGATCATCCTTCTGCTCTAGTCAAAATTAGTTGCAGTTCTATAAGCATAATATCCTATATCAGACTTCTGTGCCTTTGCACAACGTTTTCTCTTAAGACTGTTCAGTTTCTCTTCTCTTTAGCTGACATTCTTTGTCCTAGTAATGCCTCAATACCAGTTCAAGTTGCACGTCCTCTATAAAATTTTTTTGTTCCCTATCTTTCTTATAAAGACCTAAAAAAAATCCATGAATAGCTAGTTATTTTAGAAATTTATTTATTGATATTCAAGTCTGTCTTCCCTACTGAACTATAAGTTCCTCAGGGACACAGAATATTATTATGCTCAGATCCTTACTTAACTCTTTGTGAGGATCAAAAATACCACATGCCTAATAAGGAGCTAGAACACAGTAAGTGCTCATTAATTAGTGACTGTTATTATTACTGTTGAAAATAAGTGTGTGAAAAGCAATTCATGAAGAGGGGAATTATACTGACAGTGTGAGCATGCATGCTGCTTTGGACAAACTCCACATAGCCCAGTTAGGTTAGAATATAGGATCAATATAAAGAAATGATCTGCGATAGGCTGTAAAGACTGGAAAACAGACCCAAAGGGCCTTGGTTGTCCTGTTAGAGTTTGATCTCATACCTGCAAATACAGAACCACTAATTTAAGTGGCAAGGGATATAAGATTTTCATTTCCCCTGACTCTGGTGACACTAAGCTTGGAAAAAGGAATGCTTAGGAGTTTGATGCAATAATTCAGATGTAAAATAATGAGGTTCTGTAATGGCACAGAAACAGAAAGGGACAGACTTATTTGGAAGATAAACAGGACTATATTTGGATGTTGTGAGGGAATACTTGAATTGTTGAAGTCTTCTAAGTTTAAAAGATTTAAACAACCCAATGATTGAGATAAGGAGACGAATTCATTTATTCATATAGTGAGTCTGAGGTGTCCACTGGTCCCTCACTAGAAACTCCTCCAGAGGACAGTCTGAAAGGAATTTGGAACATAGATGAAATCAGAGTTGTGGTAATCACATCCAAGTTGAAGTGGTCTAGGAAGAACTAAGGACAAACCAACAATTAGACAACTCACAAAGGTGAGCACAGTTCTCTGGAAGACAAGAGAAAACTGGGAGTAGAGCCAAGAAAGTCAAATTAAGAGAATTCATGAAACACCAATCAGAAAGGATACATGCACCCCTATGTTCATAGCAGCACAATTCACCATAGCTAAGATCTGGAAACAGCCTAAGTGCCCATCAGTAGATGAATGGATTAGAAAACTGTAGTACATCTACACGATGGAATACTATGCTGCTGTAAAAAAGAAAGAACTCCTACCATTTGCAACAGCATGGATGGAACTGGACAGCATTATGTTAAGTGAAATAAGCCAGTCAGAGAAAGATAAATACCACATGATCTCACTCATTTATGGAATATAATGAACAACATAAACTGATGAACAAAACAGATCCAGAGACAGAGAATCAGCTCTATCCGCTGAGCCAAACCGGCTAGGGCTGATTTTCTTAATAACATTTTTTTTCCTCTAGCTTACTTTATTGTAAGAATACAGTATTAATACATATAAACATACAAAATACACATTAATTTATTGTTTGTATTATTGGTGGTAAGGCTTTCCGGTCAACAGAAGGTTAAGTTTTGGGGGAGTCAGAAGTTACACAGGGATTTTCGCTTGGGTGGGGTCGTGGCCCTAACACCCCACACACTTACACTGTTCCTTCAATGGCCAACTGGACTTTGGGGGGGGAGGGGGGAGCGGCCGCGGGAAGGAGGGTCATTATACCGGACAGTTCAGTCTTCCTCGGGGCTTAGCCATCCGCCATCACAGCCTTGTAATCAAACCAGTTTGCACCGTCAGCCTGCTAATCACTCTGACCATCACATTTCCAGGGGACCCGGTTCTCCTCCTCCAACCAAACCACCAGTGAGATTTCTCCGCTAACCACCAACCACCTCCCGGAACCCCCGGGGGCCGCAGGCCGCCACCCACGGGAATTCCCCCCACCTCTCCTTGCCTCGAGCGCGGGGAGCCAGCAGGGCGCTGGGCACAGGCCCCGGGAGGCTGCTGCTGCTGCTCCGGTCGCCCGCGGCCCCGGACGTGCCCCAAGGGGTGGAGGCAGAGGCCTTGGCTGAAGGGAGGCTCTGAGGGGTCTCCTGGAGTCCGAAATTGTAGCGGGGCCCTTGTGACCAAGGCTCCGCGGATGACTGGGAAGCCGCAGGGACGGAAGGCGAGGTGGATGAGATCTCCGGCCTCAGCATCCTCACACTCCGCTGGCACCGGGAGATTCTGGAAAGGCCCTTCGCCCTCGGACGGAACAACGTGGCTCAGGGACAGAAGCGACGCAGGAAGAGGCGGGAGGGCAGCGCGCAGGCGCAGAGCCGCAGGGTGCAGGCGTAGAGCAGCGCGCAGGCGCAGAGAAGCAGGGCGCAGGCGCCCAGGACTGCAGCTTTCCACACCCGCATGTCTTTCCCCATCTGCTCCTAAGAAAGTACTCCCAGTGGTTTCCAATCCCATCACCTCCCACAAGATTTGGTTATGAGCTTAATCTGAAGTACAGCCCTCCTCAACCTGCAGGTTATCACTTGAACGGAATTTATGGCTCACCAATGACCATTAGTTTGCCTCATTCTTCACTTCCCACCCCATTTCCCTCATCCCAAGGCCTAATTTAGTATTTCCCACATACTCCCACACACATTCGCTTCTTAGAAATATGATTTTATTTTAGAGAGGAAGGTAAGGAAAAGGGAAACATGGATGAGAGAACAATCAATTGGCTGACTCCTGCACGCCCCCTACTGGGCATGGAGCCCCAAACCCAGGCATGTGTCCTGACCAGGAATCAAACCTGTGACCTGTTGGTGCATGGGTCAGTGCCCAACTGAGCCACACCAGCCAGGGCCACACTAGCTTCCTTTTAATGCTCGCATTTTATAGTACAACACATCTAACATTGGTCTTGTGGCTAAATACAGGAAAGAGCCATTAACCTTACTGCAGCGGTTCTCAACCTGTGGGTCGCGACCCCTTTGGGGGTCGAACTACCCTTTCACAGGGGTCGCCTAAGACCATCTGAAAACACATGTATAATTACATATTGTTTTTGTGATTATCACTATGCTTTTATTATGTTCAATTTGTAACAATGAAAATATATCCTGCATATCAGATATTTACATTACAATTCATAACAGTAGCAAAATTAGTTACGAAGTAGCAACGAAAATAATGTTATGGTTGGGGGTCACCACAACATGAGGAACTGTATTGAAGGGTCGAGGCATTAGGAAGATTAGAGAAACACCGCCTTACTGCATAAGCACCCACAAGACTGTTACCCTTCAACCATTAATAGGAACCAGGCAAACAATGGATCTGTCTTGGGAGAGATTTAAAAAGGGCTCCCCAATCTCAATTTCTACTACAGTGCTTTCACGGGTAATTTAGTTAGGAGCAAATTACAAAATTTCAAACTATAGCTTCTCAACAAATAACCTTTGGGAAATTAAGTTCTGTATCTGTTCAGTTTTCATAAATATGGAAATAGTACTATGGTTTCATAGAAATTATAGGATTGAAAAAAAAAGTAAAATACTCTGGATACCATTAGACATTCCTTTAAAACATTGATTTCATGCAATTAACTATAAGATATTCACAGCATAGTTCACCCATATGCAGTGCCCATAGACATCGAAACTTCTTCAAAAATACCATTTAAATAAGCTGTTCCTTCCAATGACCTCCAGGCTTTCAGAAAGACTAGTGTATTATCAAATGCTATTGGACACTCAAAAGAATCTAATGTAAGCACCTATATGCAAGATAAAATTGACACTGGTCAATGTGTTAAGTGAACCATCATTATTTGGGCCGAGCCAGCTCAGCCAAGGGTTCAAAAGCTTGAGGGCTGTAAAGAATGAAGAAATGACAAAGAGAGTAAGCTGAGTCTAGGTGGATCTTCCTGTGCCTGGCTGAGACCACAGAGAGATCCAGAGGCAAGCAGAGCCTTTATTTTATAGCCAGAGGTAAACAAGGCAGTGGTCACCATAGTTTCAATGTTCTTGTTTCACTTGTTTTGGCAGCACTTGCTGCACCTCTCCCAGCCCATTAGCTACCAGTAAGATGTAGGGAGCATCATAAGGTCAAGCCTAATTATGCTGAGGGCTGTGCCCTCTAAGCTGCGACTTGTGGCTTAACGCTATAGCTGCGCCCTACAATTACTCATGTGGAAAACTACTCCTAAAATGACTAGTATACAAGATATTGCAGCATGTTTAAAACAGATTTCAACTTCCAAGAAAAATGTTCATAGCATGCTCTCCCTCCTGGGAGCAGGCCTGCCTTTCACCTTCCATCCCTGGCACATCACTTTGACCTTCCTCACTTCTAAGCTCCAGGGACCCTTCCTTTGCATCTATAAGTTGTTTCCGCAGTCCATTTCTTCCATAACTTACTTCTACTTCTGTGATCTTACAAATGCTCTTAAAAATAATATTCATAGAAATACCTTATTTTCACCAAGAATGCAAGACAGGAATTATAGTCTATCTGAAAGCACATATACAAAAGTATTGTAACTATCTCCTGTTTCCTTATTGGGGGGGGGGGGGGGGAGCCAACCCTTTGGTAGTCAGTAGCTGGCATTCTGACATAAAATGTTAAAAATTAGCATAAAGTGTAGCCCAGATATCAATCATATTCTAAGATGGTGAACTGTCATTTACCGAAATTACTCTGTGACCAACTCAGAATAACCATGCTCCTATGAAATAACTCCCAAATTTCAAGTTTATTTCACTTTGTGCATCTTTTAATTCATGTGGGGCATATCAATATTTATCATCAGTTAACAATTTCATTGACATAGACCAATTTACATGAACTATCATTACATAACATGGAGGGAGCACATGGGGAAATCAAGTCAAATACAAGACTTCATTAACTAGAGTTCTTACTCTTAGGGAAATTTAAATACGTTGAAGTGTAAACAAAATATTGTATTCAGAATGACAGCATTCTATAAGAAAAGCAAAAGCTGAAGATAGGCCTTTATTTTACAATATGTATACTTATATAATTTATTAAAATTATCACAATCACAACTCATATACAAAATATTAACAGTCATTTTTAAGTATGACAAGCACTTCAAAACAGAAATTTTAGGATGACAAAATTATACTAAGCAACTTTGCATCAATGAATCTAGCTCACTAGTTCTGGCTGAATATTCATTCTCCGAAGTACTTCTTCAGGCATGCAAAAAACAGGATTAACAGGTTTAATTTGTTCTTCTCCCAAAAGTGACAATCCAGCAATTCCAAATAAAGTATGAAAAGGATCTACCTATAAAAAAATAAGAATTCAGATTATTAGGAAACAAAAACTTCTAAAACCCTGCTTCTGAACGATGGTTATATTGGAGCCCACTGTATTTTCTCTACTTGAATATATGCTTCAAGTTCTCATAATAAAAATGGCTTCAAATTGTGCTGTTAACCATACACTATTTTGGAAATGTCATGAGAAATTTCTGCAAACTTGTTTTACTATTCTTTGCAGTCTCAAAAATTACACAAAAAAAAGCATACTGCTTTCAAAGCAACACTAGGAAATACCATCTATACTAGGAAATACCATCTATTTCTAAGTCTGGAATAGCTTAGAACCATAAAATGGAAAACACTGAAATGTAATTGTTACATGAATATGTCAGAAATGTACTTGCCATATCTCCTGGCCTGTCTGCAAATCCTCCAGTTTCTTCATCTTGACATGCTAAGATGAAACTGCGCAGTTTCTCTCGATCAATCCAATGAAGCCTTCCTATTATCTTTAGGGAAGCCAACACCCACCATGAATAGCATACATCTGGTAACTAGGAGAGAAAAAAAGCCACAAAGTTGCCACAATTTTTATTCTCTAGTCCACTTGGGTTGGGAGGGGGAGGAATCAAGCACTATACTGATATGCAGTATTTGAAATGCTGAAATTCATAAACATAACTGCTTAGAATTAAAGATAATCACTGGAAAAGACCAAATACTCTAATTCATAGAAAGGTTTGCTATGTGTTTCAGTATTTTGTGGGGAAAAAAACAAAAACCCATCTACTTTTGTTCTTCTGCAATGAATGCCTAACTCAGTCCCTTACTCAAATTGCTGGTAGTAAGGCTCATGAAATCTATGATGATGGATATTGCATATCCCCAAGTAGAGCATTTTCAACAAGTACTCCCAGGTAGCTATAGATCTGCAAAATCACCTGAAGCCTGGCCCCTCAAAATACAATTTAAGAAATTCAAGAGCCCAGCTGGCGTGGTTCAGTGGTTGAGCCTATGACAATGCCAGGAGTCATGGTTTGATTCCAGGTCAGGGCACATGCCCGGGCTATGGGCTCGATACCCAATGGGTCACATGCAGGATAACATGTGACCCACTGACTGGATACGGCCAGTCAATGATTCTCTCATCATTGATGTTTCTATCTCTATTTCCCTTCCTCTCTGAAATCAATAAAAATATATATTAAAAAAAAAAAAAAAGGCACAGAAGACACCACTTGAGGCTGAATGCAATCTTCAGTAAGATCCTTGGGTAAATCATTCACATGATGGCCAGAGAAGGGAGGCAAAAGGAGAAGAAAATGGGGGACCTGTAATAGCCAACAATAAAGAAAAACATTGTGCTACATTGTTAAAATGCTGGTTCCTGTCAGTTGCCACTCCCAATTGTTTAAAGTTGCCCAGGTTTTCCATAGGACCTTAACTAGAAACCACCTGTGGTTATTTCCCTACTCCATTCATCCCCAACTCATCAGAAATATCAAGCAAACAAAAGTGATAAAAGCACTATGCACCTATAATATATTTTTAGGGTTAGGACCCAGCAAACTATAGCTCAGGTCAAATCTAGACTACCACCAAAGAATAGTTTACATGTGTAGTTTTAAAAATGTTTAATTGACAGAAAAATCATATGAAGCACAAAATGTACCGATAATTTTATTGCAACAGAGCCATGTCCATAATCTTACTATGGAAGCATTTCCTCTTTGGGCAGCAACAAGACCATAAACTACAAAGCTGAAAATATTTACTATCTGACCCTTAAAGACCCAATTTAGAGCTTAATGTGTGTGACCTAAACAAAACTGAACTTAAGAAAAATTAATTTCCTTCTTCCAAATCCAAGTGTCAAAAATTAAAGGTTTTTCTTTTTGGGGGGGAGGGGGAGAGATAATAAAAATATTGAATAAAAAGTTTTAGCAATTAAAAATGATCCATTGTCCCTTCATACCCATAAACCAACGTAGAAGTTTCTATACTAGATGAATGTGTTCACTTAACAGTAGTTTGGCTCCCAGACATACACCATTTAATGCATGAATTATTCCCTGGTATATACCCAGAAATTAAAAGGTTTGAAGAATCAGCTTCATTTCAATGCCTGAGAAATGCAAGGCCTTGAGAAGGATGGGAGAGAAAAGATCCACTCAGAATTTAGATTATGTGTGAATATAAACATATTTTAAAGCTAAGAATATTTGCCATTTTTGTATTCTCCTTTAGATAATTCAAGAATTTACTTCAGGATAGGGAAAACCAAAAAACATCAACTTATAAAACAAGCATCAGAAGGCACCATGCACATCTTTGATTCAAAAGTATATTTTAGATACAGAGGAACTTATGCATATTACTAAGTGAAAGAAGCAATTCTGAAAACGCTACATCTATATAATGCCAACTATATGCATTCTGGAAAAAGCAAAACTAAAGTTAGTAAAAAGATCAGTGTTTCCCAGGGATTTGGGGGAGGACAGAGGGGTGAATAGGCAAAGTACAGGGCCTTTTTTTTTTCATGGTACAATAGAAAAATTATAATGAAAGGAAGATAAAAAGCTAACTATCAATTTACAAGAGCAATATTGAAAAAGTTAAAGTAAAACAGCACTCACTGAAGTTATAAAGCTGTTAGAACACAATGTATCTTATGAAACAATACCTTCTCTGGCCTTCCATTCAGTCCACCTGAAGGTAGCTGTCGTTCACAAAGCCACCACCCAAGTAAATCAGAGTTTACTTGGTGCAACTGATTAGTAATAGCCAGGAATCCTGTGCAACAATAGATCTAAAATTACAGACATAAAGTACAGGTGTATAATAATCTGCAATAAGTGATGAAAACTACTCAATTAAAACTTCATTTTATGTCTAAAAATTTCCTTACAATTGAACATGGAAATATCACATAATTATTTGGAAAACAACAACAACAACACCTAAGCATACTATTACTAGGATCAAATTTTGCAAAGAAATACTATTGTCAAAAGTTCTCTATGACTAAGATACTATTTTATTTCACAACTATTTATATGTATACAATGTTCTCTGGCATAAGCAAATATAGGAACAAACTGCTTTCAATTATTTAGTTAAAAACTAATGGAGCCCAAGCCAGGTAGCTCAGTTGGTTAGAGCACTGTAATCTGGATACACCCAGGTTTGGGGTTCAATCCCTGGACAGGGCACATACAAGAATCAATCAATGAATGCAAATTGGTTTCTCTCTCTCCCTTCCTCTTCCTCTTTATATATATATATATATATATATATATATAAATATAAATAAACACTAATGGAAAATCAAAATGTATTTTTGGTGATTACAAACCTACTTATGTTTGACTGGATCGAAGTGTTTCACCAGCAGGTGAATGTATATAAAGCAAACTATTGTAAAAAAAAAAAAAAAAAAAAGAGGCCTTCCTTAACCAGCAATTAATCAACTATAATGTAACATCCCACATTCATTATAGTACCTTTGGTCAAATTAACTTCATTCATATTTAACAAACACTAAAATTGCTATTAACATATTTTAATCTGCATTAGTGAATTACCTGCCCAGCATGGGACTCAGAACCTGGCCTACAACCAAATCCACCATCAAAGTTCATGCACGATAAAACAAATTCAATTGCCTTTTCCACATTAATAGCATCCAGCTTCCCCTATAAACAAACAAAAAACAATGCCTATAAATTCCAGAGTAACCATGGACACTAATTAATTCCAATACAATAGTCATAACTTACCAATAGAGCCAAAGTTGCCACAGCACAAAAAGAGAATCTTGTATCAATTTCTCCTAAAAATAAAAGGAATCAAACCAAAACTTAAGTGTTACTAAACGCTTCTGATCATAACATACACAAGTTATTCTGTACAATTACTATGGTCAAAACTTAAAATTTACTTGTACGTCTCCAGAAGGAAAGCTAAATCTAAAGTGAAATCATTTTACTTCTAAGAAAACTAAGATCTAGAAAAATGCTTTGACAAAATACAGCAAATTATCTAGAGTTTACACAGTACCCAGAAAGGGAAGGTAATAATTAACAGAGCCAAAAGGACTAGTCAGTTTCTAATAATAATGAACTTACCCTATTACATATAAGTAGATTTTCACATCCCATGAAGCAGCTGGTCTCTCCGGCCTGCACTGTATTCAGCCCTGAAGTAGAGATTATCTAATTTATCAAGTAAAATACTAATCCCTCCCTCCACTCAAATACTCAGTAAGTTTGTAAAGTTTTTATCATCTTTCCCTTGCCAGTAAGCAGTTTTTTAAGAACTTTACAAACCCACCAAATATTGGGGGGAAAAAATTTCACCTACCTTATCTTTTAGACTGACCCCCTCTGTTCCAGCGCTCCTGTAGGCTGACATAACTAGCTCAGTGCATGCTGGAACTTCCAGCAGACTATTAAGTCCAGTTAGACCAGCTGCTTAGTGGGACCTGAAAAGATGAAAAACTTTTTAAAAAACTTATATAAATTAGCAAAGTCTCCAATTAACTGTACTTAAAAATATGCAGCAGAGCTTATTACAATAAACACCAAAACATTTAAGATTGGTATATTTGGTAGAATGAATTAAAATGACATTACCCCAAATATCTCCAGCAAAAGAACCATCTTCTTTCTGTAGACTCTGAACATATTCCACAACTTTATTTACGTCAATAACATTAATACTATCATACAGAGTAAGAATCTGTAACAAAAAAAAGTTAAATACATCTTCAACCCTAATTGATTCTAATGTTCTTCAACTGTCTTTTAAGTCAAGCAAGCGTCCTTTTGTCTAGGAATATTATAAACTTTTCTCAAACATGCAAAGTATCTTCTATGCAATAAAATTATAGGTATTAAAATCCAAACTTCTAAAAGCATTTTTCTACATATAAATTGTAACTTAAAAACTCTTAAATAGTCTAACTTATGTAGACTTTAAACCCTCATTTGTGGGATCTTCAATATCAAAATTAAAACATGTAACGCCACCTTGTGATTTCCAAATATTTACATACACTAAACCTTTTACCATCCAAGGTCTCAGTGTAATTTTAGAATTCGCATCAACTTTGAATTCAGCTAATACATGCCATCACATCATTGACCTTGTTAAATAGACTTCATTTGCAAAACTTAGGGTAACTTTTTGACATACTCATTTTATTACTTTCCTGGTTTCAAATTTCCCCTCAGGTTAAGAGCACACACTACCAAGACTGCCAAATTTTAATCAGTATTTACCTGGACAGCACTCAGAGTGTACAAAAGATGAGGATCATGTCCAATACTAGCACTTATTCCACCACACTCGTGTTGACATGACTTAATAAATGCCAGAATTTCTTCTTTATTCATGCGATTTAGTTGTCCCATGAGATCCATTACAGTCAGACCCCAATAGACGCCACTCATTCTCAAGTACTCAGACATACAGTACTCCTAAAATACACAATTACTTTCATGTGTCAGTTTGAATTCATGCTGGGTCAGAAACCAAACATATAAACATTTAATCCTATCAATGATAAGTTTAAATTTGTGGCTCTCAAATTTGGGGGACAGAAGTTCCACTATCTGAGAAGTGTATGATAAATTCACTTGTGACTGACCAAACAGGGCTTTAACTCTTCCAGGAGCCAACCGGAAGAGTAAACGAGAAGACCTACTTTTTTTTAAGTTCGGGGAGAACATCTTTCAGAGTACCTACATCGTATTTAACGACTCCATAATCACATGGTTATGGGAACATATTACTTAAGAATTTATCAATACTAGGTATTTTCCATGGTAATCCAGCTGTTGAGACACTAAAGGGAAAAATATTTACTTCCAGGTGAGCTGCTCACTACTTTATTTAAAGATCGTCCCAGAGAAAAATTATTCTATAATGTTTAAAACTCAAGGTAAAAGTTTTTCAAGGTCTCAGAGTAATTCTAGAGCTAGTGTTATTACACATCAGCTGTAAATTCAGATAATACATGCCAACACATCATTGACCTTGAAAGTATTGCCTCAACTACAAAAGTAGAAATTTATTCTGTACTTCAAACCTCTTAAAATGGGCCATAAATATTGACCCACTGACTGCTTATGGAGAATAGTCTTTGAAACTTTCAACATAAAACCATACATACATAATCATCTTTCTTTGAGCCATAGGATGCAATATAATCTGCATGCTTCTCCAGTAAGAGGGTGTCAGGCGCATCTGGCTTGATGGTAACATCCTTCTGTGGTGTGCCCTTTCAAAATAAAAGCAGTGATTTCATAAACATTTACCTTTTAATGTCTGACCCCAGGGCACATTCAATACACAACAGAACTTGAAGCTCTTGCAATGATTCAGGTTATTTTTCAGGTCTCAGAGTAATTCTAGAGCTAAAGTAGTCGTAATCAACTTTAGATTCAGAATACATGCCGGCTCATCATAGACCCAAAAAATTACCTTTATCGATTGCTTATCTTTCCCTTAAAGAGTAAAATAAAAACTACGGAGTATCGACGCTCACAAATTCAGGAGAAGTTATGGTTTACATGTGGTAATAAGCAAGCGGATGCATAAACATACCTAAGTAGACAATAACTTGCAATTAAGTTATTTAATGAAATTTTATTAATCTAGAAACTCGGTTTCAAAGCACTTTCTACGCACCCAAGTTATTCCATTGCTTAAGCAAACAGTCCCCCTTTAGCCCCATACTCTCCAGCTTTCGTCAGTTTCTGAATTTCTAACAAGCCCCCAGGTGATGAAAATGCTGGTCTAATTCTCCCCATTATCTAGAACTTCGTGACTGACACTGAATTGTATTCATTTTTAAGTAGGTCATGACGATTACTAAAAAGAAGTTATTAAATTTCTTCCAAATTCCATTTAAAATTTACCACCTTACCAGTCTCGGTTCTAAAGATTGAGCCACTAAATACATATGTATAGAGAGAAGGAAAAAAGCAGCGCCTACATGGTCTGATTTTGTGGGATTAAAAAATCGGGCCTTTGAATCCCGAGGCCCGCCCGACAGGAGGAAGCCTGCAGAAAATGACAGGCGGCAACCGGCCCGCGAGGTCTGCAGGAAACGCTGAGTAACATTTCAGCCTTTCTGAGCTCTCAAGAAACCTCCCAAGGCCTGTGGCTTAACCTAACCATTCTCCAACACCTGCTATGCCACACTACAATCATTGAGCGGCTAAATACTACGCCGTGCGGCCTCCTCCCCGACCCAGCGGGACTGCAGCGCAAAGGGCAGCCACACTCACCATGTCTGAGAGCGAAAAGAGAACTGAGCTCGTTGGAGGGTGTAGTTAGCAGGCTCGCGCATGCGCAGAAGCACCCCTCAGGTCCCCTCCGCCGCCTGACATAGTTGACTAAGCTCCCGCCTGTCCCATTGGCTACACTAGGACCCCCACCGACTGCTTATAGCTGTCTTTGCTGCCTGTGCTCAAAGGTTTTGCCTCCCCCCACCCCACCCCACCTTTTACAAACCTCATAATCCTATCGTTTGGTCTAAAATAGTTTTAAGTAATACTATCTCAATTACTTTTTTAAAAAAATATATCTTATTGATTTTTTTTTACAGAGAGAGGGATATAGAGAGTTAGAAACATTGATCAGCTGCCTCCTGCACACACTCCCTACTGGGGATGTGCCTGCAACCAAGGTACATGCCCTTGACCGGAATCAAACCTGGGACCGTTAGAGCTCGCAGGCTAACGCTCTATCCACTGAACCAAACCTTTGATTAGATAGCAGAGATTTTGTCTTACCAGAATAATTTTTCTGAGCTCTCAACATTGACTTTTTCATATCCTTAATTATTTTTTTAAAAGGAACAAAGTTTCCTCATTTGCTAAATATCTAAAGTCCCTTATAATCATACTAGAGGCCTGGTGCACAAAAATTTGTGCACTCGACGGGGAGGGGGGTCCCTCAGCCCGGCCTGTGCCCTCTCCCAGTCTGGGACCCCTCGGGAGATAACGACCCGCTGGCTTAGGCCTGCTCCCGGGTGGCAGAGGGCAGGCCCAAAACCTAGGTGCAGCCCCTGGTCGGGCTCAGAGCAGGGCGGATTGGGGAGTTGGGGCGCCACCCCCTGTCATGCACAGAGCAGGGCGGATGGGGAGGTTGTGATGCCACCCTCAGTCACGCTCAGGGTAGGGCCGATTGGGGGGTCGGGGCACCGTCCCCTGTCACACTCAAGGCAGGGTGGATGGGGAGGTTGTGGCACCATTCCATGTCATGCACAGAGCAGGGCCAATCAGGGGGTTGGGGCGCCATCACTCTCACACTCAGGGCAGGGCTGATGGGGAGGTTATAGCTCTACCCCATCACACACAGAGCAGGGCCTGTGGCGGGGGGGGGGGGGGGGGGGGTTGGGGCACCGCACCCTGTCACACGCAGAGCAGGGCCGATCAGGGGGTTCGGGAGCTCCCCCCTATCAGGCACAGAGCAGGGCTGATCAGGGGGTTGGGGGGCCTTCCCCTGTCACGAACAGATCAGGGTGGATAGGGAGGTTGTGGCCCCGACCCCTGTCACACACAGAGCCACAAGGCGATCAGGGGGCTTGGGCGCTGCCCCCTGTCACGCTGATCCCGGTGCTGGGAGGCATATTACCCTTTTACTATATAGGGTAGAGGCCTGGTGCACAGGTGGGTGCTGGCTGGTTTGCCCTGAAGGGTGTCCTGGATCAGGGTGGGGGTCCCCACTGGGGTGCCTGGCCAGCCTGGGTGAGGGGATGATGGCTGTTTGCAGCTGGTCACACCCCCTTCAGGGTGGGGGTCCCCACTGGGGTGCCTGGCCAGTCTGGGTGAGGGGCTGAGGGCTGTTTTCAGGCTGGGGGTGACTGAAGCTCCCAACCGCCCCTTTATTTATTTATTTATTTTTTATTCTGGGCCAGCTTTAGCTTTGAGGCTTGGCTCCAGCTCTGAGGCCTCCGCTGCTGAAAGTAGGTTTCTGGCCTTTGCTTACAATGTTGTGATCCTGCTGGCTGAAGCCTGGCTGACTAAAGCAGGTTCCTGGGGTTTTGTTTAGCTTCTATATTTGTTACATAGTTGCTTAGAGTTGCAGCTTAGAGGCCTGCAGCGGCAGGGGGGGAACATTGGAGTCCTCCGTCACTGAAGCAAGCAAGCCTCATGTTAGTTTCAAGCTGCCTGGCTGCCGGCCACCAATTTGGCTGGCAGTTAATTTGCATATTGTCCTGATTAGCCAATGGGAAGGGTAGCAGTCGATTGCCAATTACCATGTTTCTCTTTTATGAGATAGGATTACATTCTTCTGTGTTTATTTATTGTCCATTTCATTAAATAGGTAACCAAGTGTTCTTTCTCAGGCACCTTTAATCCTGTCTTACTCAAGATATCAGATCATCTTTGCCATCTCTTTTGATTTTTTCCTTCCTATGGTCAAATTTTGAATTTAGACAAATTAAATTTCAGGGTATATTTTACACCTGAATGTATCCTTGAAATCTTTTGTGGTCCCCTGTAAAATCACAAAAACTATTCTTTCACTTTATTTTTAAAAATGATAGTAAAAACAATTACATATTTCCCATCTTGGAGATTTGTCAATGTCCTATTTCCCTCAGGGTAAATAATGCTTTAAATTCTTCTGAGATAGTTATACACTATGCTGCAACAGATACTTTAATTCACTTCCATTCTGACATTATTGGATATAGTAATTAACTACAACATTCAGTTCATTGCAATGATCAAGACTGAATGTTTGTGTTCCCCCAAAATTTGCATGTTGAAATCCTAATCCGCAATGTGATATTAGGAAGAGGGGCCTTTGAGATGTAATTAACACATGAGGGTGAAGTCCTTATGAATGGGAGTAGTGCCCTTATAACAGGGATCCCAGTGAGCTCACTCACCTTATTTCTGCAATGTGAGGATACAAAAAGTTAGCAGTATGCAACGCTGGAGAGGGCCGGCACCTTGATCTTGCACTTCCTAGTCTCTAAAACTGTGAGAAATAAATGTTTGTTGTTTGAGCCACTTGGTCTATGGTATGGTTACAGCAGCCTGAACTAGGGCAATCATCTACAGATAGTCTCTGCTTTACGCTGATGCTAGCTAGAAGGCTAGAAGGCTATGCTGTAAGCTACAGCCCAAAGTTTATGCATTCAGGACCAGTCTCAGAGACACATGGAAAGGATCAGATATTTTGAACTATTGATAACTTTAAGGAAACCTCTTGGGTACAGACTTCCAAGCCGACATAGCTTAGACAAATATCACACTATATCAGTGACTGAGTCAGGGTTTCTAGGACTCTTTGGTCTGAAAGTGGATGGCTTCTTGAAAGCAGTTCACTGACTCAAGAACAATTACAGAGAACTGAATGAACCAATGAGTGAAATTTAATCATGGCTCCTTGTTTGGAATATTGTTCTGCAGTTGTAATGTTCTATTTTTATGGATATGTGAGGAAGCCCTTTTTAATTCTTAGCCTATCTCTAGACTTCAATTTGATGGGCTCTGCTTTTGTAAACTGGATTTTTTTTAATTTTGTTTAAATATATTTTATTGATTTTTTTTTTACAGAGAGGAAGGGAGAGGGATAGTTAGAAACATTGATCAGCTGCCTCCTACACACTCCCCACTGGGGATGTGCCCCCAACCAAGGCACATGCCCTTGACCGGAATCGAACCTGGGACCCTTGAGTCCACAGGCTGACACTCTATCCACTGAGCCAAACTGGTCAGGGCTGTAAACTGGAATTTTAAGATGGTATCTGATTGTCACTGAGTCTCCAGAATTCAGACGCATCTACTGGATCTCCTTACATTTCATGGCAATTTTCAAAAGGAGTTGGCACTCCTGTTTCCCAGGATATAATTGAAGAGATTGATTGTGTAACCAAGGCCATACCTAATATGTCACACAGTGGGGCCTTTACTTACGAGTGTCCCGACTAACGAGTTTTTCGAGATACCAGCCGTCTCTCGGCCAATCTTTTGCTTTGAGTTGAGTTGTGAGCTAAAATTCGGGTTATGAGCCAGCTTCAGATACCCCACCGCTAGTTGGCGCAGCGAATGTCACAGTGATTTGACATATGAGTAATCTGAGTTATGAGCTCCATCACGGAATGAATTAAACTCGTAAGTCAAGGCCCTACTGTATTTGGAAATAAAGCTTATTTAATCAGCTATGACTAGCCCACTAATAAATAAGCTGACTTTATATGTAGAATCAATGCCTACAAATTATCCCAGTAAAACAGAAATGGCACCTGGCTTTCAGGGTTCCAGTTTTACAGGGAGGGTCCTTCTTGGCAAGCCAGGAACCTTAGTAAATTTTGGAGAAGCCGAGGAGAGAAATTCTCCCAAATTCTGAGTTACTGCTGGAGAAATCTGGTGGAAGGTTTCTTGGACTTGGTTTCCTAGCCTTTAGATACCAAATTATGGAGGCTTTAAAAGTCCAATTTGAGTACTTTATTAAAACTTTTATTGTTTTTTTTAATGACAACTTTTAGAAGTTAATCCTGTCTCTGGATTTCCAAAGTTAATACAAGGCCTACATGGTTAATTTACACTCTTACAGTATCTAGGTCAATAGTCAAGCCAAGCCGGCCTTCTAGTTATCAAGGGTAATCTTGGCATAGTGTTTATAATCATAGGAAGACACTATTAAGAAACATTGTCAAAGTCTTGGAAATGGATAAAAGAAATTACTGAATATCCTTTTAGTGAAGTGCTAGATATTGTCTAATGGATCCTCTGGGTATTTTCTGAAGGGGTGTGTACCTGTGACTGTCTTTCTATTGGCAGGCTGTTTTACAACTCTGTAAAGTTAGAAGTTATATTGTAGAAAATGGAGAATAATGCAAATGAACTATGAACTACTACTGATTTCTGCTCTGTAGAAAAGACGACTCCTTTAGATTTTATTGCCCTATAGGTTATTAGCCAGTCTTATATCTATTAGCAACTTCTTTTAAGCATATCTAACTGCTTTTATGTCTGTTCTTCAAATTCTCCCTTTTATGAGTTCTAACATCTTATTAGTTTCTTCACTGAGTTCAATGAAATGTTTAACGTGTTGAAACAACAAAAGCACTGTTGCCTATAAACTTTAATTGTTAATCTCCAGAGATCTTTTGTACTATTTTTTTTGTACTATTTGATAATGGGTAATATACTAAAATTAATGAATGTGATTCTGGGAGCCGTATAAACTGCTATTTTTATTTTATTTTATTTTTAATTCAGAGTAGTCTTGGAATAATCTCTTCTCCCTTTATGCAAATTGATGACTATGATAGATCCTTAAACATT